AAATAATGCTAAAATCATGTTTTATTTCGTGCAATAAAATTTTTAAATTTTCAAAGTTTTTATTTAGACTTCGGATGTTAATATTTAAAATTGAAAATATGTTTTTAATATTTTTAAGATATTGTGCAGATTGGTAAACTGAGTATTATTTGCTTTCAAAATTCAATTTGTCAAAACAGTCTGTTTCAGTGTCATTATCATTAATATTTTCATTAGAAAATTGAAATATAGAGTTTTGCTCCATTTTTATACATAGTTTTAAATAAAATTTTGAAACAAATAAAAAATAAAATAACTTATTTAGCTTTTAGATTAAACTCTCTATTAACTTATCGTACTCAATAATAGCATTATTTTCCAGCGTTACGCTCAATCTTCATCTTTTCACTTAATTCGCGTCTTATTTTGTTAGTTTCAAATGAAAAATCTTAAAAGGACATTAACTTTGTCTTCTGTGTGCTTCCCCAAGCAATGTTGGCATATGTGAGATGACTATGTATAAAGGAAAAGTAAAGAAGTTTTAGGTTTTTTTTTGTGATAAAAACGGTCTAGCTTTAAAAAGTATACCAATACTTTTAGATATTTTAGTGCTGATGGCATTTATATGGGCTGTCCATGAAACATTTTCATCAATAATCACACCAAGAAATTTAATTGTTTGGGTTCTTTTAATTTTTTCGTGTTCGATACTTAGTGAGGGTAGAATTGATGGTAGTTTATTTTTTTGTTTGTTTGAGTGAAATAAAATATACTTAGTTTTTTGGGCGTTTAATGATAACATGTTAGCACTGAACCATGTTTTAAGTTTTTGAAGCTCAATGTTGACTTTATCAAAAAGGTCATTGATAGAGGTAGATGAGTAAAATAGATTGGTATCATCTGCAAACATTATACAATCTAGATTTGTAGCTTTAGGTAGATCGTTAATGTAGATAAGAAATAACAAAGGCGCAAGAATAGATCCCTGGGGGACACCACATTTTATTTTTAATAACTTTGTATTAGTGGTACCGTCTATTATAACACATTGTTGTCTGTTATTTAAATAATTAGTGAACCATTTAATAGTTTGGTTTTTTATACCGTACTTTCTTATTTTATCGAGCAGAATTTTATGGTTGACAGTATCGAAAGCTTTTGTAAGATCAATAAAAATACCCTATACAAATTTTCCTTTATCAAAAGATGATCTAATGTTGTCCATCAGGTCTAAGGTTGCATGCTCTGTAGAATGGTTTGTTTGAAAGCCGTATTGACATTCACTTAAAATTTTATTGGCTGTTAAATATTTATAAAGTCGGTTGTACATTATTCTTTCCAGGAGTTTGGAAAAGACTGGAAGAATTGAGATAGGTCTATAATTGGTTAGCAAGGCCGTGTCTCCAGTTTTAAATATAGGTAAAATCTTCGCAATTTTTTATTTGTTTGGAACAACTCCAGTTCTAATTGATGACTTGAAAACCTTTAAAAGAGGATCTTTTAAAATGTATAAAGTATCAATTATTACATTGCTAGAAATGTCGTCGAAGCCCGGAGCTTTGTTTTTTCTAATTGATTTTGTTGCTTCTTCAAATTCCTCAGATTTTAGGTCACTCTCAGTAAATGAACTAGTATGGTTAGTAAAACAGTTATTAAATGAATTGTTCGAGTTGTTTATTTTGGATGTCAGCTTAGGACCGATATTTACAAAAAATTGATTAAATTTATCGGAGATTGTTTTTTTATCTGTATACTCCAATCCATCTTCCTCAATTCTGAAGGGTAATATTTCGGACTTAATTTTGGTTTTTCCAATAACTTCGTTCATAATTTCCCATGTTTTTTTAATACTACCATTGTGCTTTTGTAATTGTTTAGAAAAATACATTTTTTTAGATTTCTTTTTAATTTTTTCAAAAAGGTTTTTGTATTCTTTATAAACAGGAAGATTTTTTTCGTTTCTATTTTTTAAATATTTATTGTATAATTTTTGTTTTTTCTTAGACGATTTTTTTATTCCGCTTGTTATCCATGGACATTTCAAATATTTAACTTTTATTTCTTTTTCAATAATTGGAAAGTGATCAGGAAAAGTGTCAATAAATAAATTATAAGCAGAATTTGTAAGTCCTCGGTCGCATTGTAGATAAACATTTGACCAATTTGTTTTCGATAAGGTTTTTTTAAATTTGTGAAAAAATTTGTTAATTTTTCTTTTATATGTTTTGATTTTTGAATTATTTAATGACGCTGAGTTTTGTGTAAGTGAGAAGAATATTGGAAAGTGGTCTGATATATCAATTTTAAATATTCCTGTTTTTAAGGATATGTTTAAAGATGAGTAGGTCAATAAATTATCTATGGCTGTAATTGAGGTTGAGGTGACTCGGGTGGGTTTGTTAATTAGTGAGAATATACCGAGCTGAAATAAATTGTCAAAGAAGATTTTAATGTTGGTGTTTTCGTTGTATTTTAAACAATCTATGTTCAAGTCTCCTATGCAAAATATGTATTTTTTTTTATAATTATTTTTTATAAAGATCTGATTCAAATAGTTAGAAAATTTGATAATATTGCCATTAGGTGGCCTGTAACAATTAGTTACTAAAATGTTTTTTTTATTTTTATTGATTATTTCTATTGTAAGGGCCTCATTGTCGGCATCGGAGAACGAGAGGTCGTTACTAATTTTTTTTTCAAGATTATTCCGAATATAAACTAAAATTCCTCCTCCTCTTTTGAGTATTTTTCTTTCAAAAGAAATCATGTTGTAGTTAGTAATTTGAAAATTTGAGTTTTCTTGAGAAAAATTGTCAGTACACCACGTTTCGGTGAGACAAATCATGCTGAAAGAATACTTACATTCTAAAAGAAAATTTGTCAATTTGTCGATATTTGAGTTAATACTTCTTATGTTTATGTGTATAACTGTGAAATCATTAGTTTGCTTGAATTGGGTTTTAGAAGTTTCAATTTCGAAATATTCTGTATTAAAACATTTATCGTTAAATATTTTTTTATCCGCGTGGTAAAAGTCGTTATGCAATATATTATTTGCGGTTTTAAAATAATCGGAGTAATAGGTTTCAAAATCTGTTGTATCCTTTGCCATTTTGTCGGTTTGCTAATTTTAATTACAAAGATTGTGATTTTTTTTTTCTTTTTTTATTTTACTAACCACTCTCCTAGTTACGAAATTCTCTAACAAATATTTTATCATATTTAACTATAGGGTATTTACCTTTTTTGCGTAGCCGTTTGACTTCCTCCCAAAGCTTTTTCCTTACTTCCATTGTTTCATTCGAAATTTATGCCAAAATCTTCATTAATAAAAATACCTGTACCTTTCAGCATCTTTGCTTTTCCAAAATTTTTTTCCTTGTCTTTATAATTTAACATTTTGAGTATGATTGTTCTGGGTTTATTCTTTATTTTCTCTGCGTTGAAGCGTGCATCGTTTTCTTTAGATGTGTTTTTCCTGTCATAGTAAAATGTTAATTTTTCCATCGTACTCAAGCCTAAAAAAGTTGTTTTGCTATGATATACTGTTTCAATACCTATAGGGAAAAAAAAGAAGTGATATAGGAAATACCTTACATACCTGTAAAATACCTTACATATCTTGGTGTAATCGGCCCCTTCAGCGGCATTATCCACGATTAGCCTTGACGTATCAAACAGCGCGATTTTAAAAACATAAAATCGATGATTTTTTTCTTTATAAATTATGTCGGCTAAACTTCTTTTAGCTATCCAGGAAGCAATAATCCAGGTAGCATCAAAGAACATTCTAGCCTTAGGATGTTCTTTATTGCTTCCTGGATCAAGCCTTTTAACTATTTTAATAATGCTATAGCCAAAGTTCTTGAGTACTGCTGAAACAAAGCTTTCAATAATGATGTCATTATCTATATTTTCCGAAAGATACTTGATGGCGTAGTCAAAAGACACCAATGGCTTGCTCATATTTGTTTTTAATCCTTTGGTTGCTTGATAAAAATGATAGAAATATTAAACTAAAAAAAAAAAAAAAGGAAATAAAATACAATTTTGAGATTTGTATACCGTTTTTAATTTTATAACATCTACAAAGTTTATGAACAAAAAATTTAGGCATTGTATAAATAATGAATGATATTTAAAAAAGAAAATAGAAAAAAGGCCTACATTTTATTGACTCAGCCAGGATGTGCGATATTAGAATTTAAATCCAGCCACACAGTTTTTTTTCTTCCCATCACCAGATTTTGACGATGTAATTTGATATTAGTTATTAAACTATATTAAAGCAGATAATAATAATAATATAACTATTATAAAAATAAAATTGTGTCCTAATCATAAAAGGTTTTCATCACTAATACTATTTTTTTGCTAGTAGAGTTTTCTTTATAGATTAAGTTATCACTCATTTTCACAGAAAAACATATACAAACAATATATTAAAAGAAAGAAAAAAATATGCACTACTCAGTGGTACCATTTATGTTGGTATGTAGATTAAACTTGTTTAATTGATCAAAGGCTAGATTGTTACATATCTTCGGAAAGAGCTAAATACAGTTTTTTTAAAGTCAAATACTATTAAAATTAAATAAGTCTACATAGAATTATAAGATTTTTAGTGGCGAATTTTTGATATATGAATTTGTTAAAGAAACTGTAGTCAAAATTTAATTTTTTTTTACTTAAATTGCATTTTTCAACGCTTAATTTTTCTTCACTTAATAGATTATTAACTGTGTTTTTCTTTACTAAATTTTTTTTCATTTAAATAGCGTACTTTTAGGGGTCTAAAACTAGAATTTTTTTAACACTCAATATGTGTATGAATATGTGTATAGATAAATGTCATTTTCAAGTATAAATATAGCACTTAAGTATATCAGAGTTTCCCAAACAACAACGTTTTCAAGAAATATATACTACCACCCCGTTTTTTAATATAACTATTATTTTTGAAATTTTAATAGCATATAACTTTTTTTGAAACCCAAAATGATAAAATTTTAAAGGACCTTTATTTCAGAAAATACTAAAAACTTAAGTGTTTAAGGGTCTTAGGGGACCCCCAAAATTTTTTTTAATTTGAAAACTTTTTAAAACTAATATCTTTTTATCATATAGAATTTGTCATGAGGATGGTAGAATATATTTTTAAAAAAATGTTGTTTCTTGGAACATTATAATAACAAATTGATTTCTTTAAACTTTCATTTTAAGTTCTTGATAATCGAGTCATGATTGAAACAAAGTCATTATTTAACCCAGATTTCAATAAATTTGTTGCAACTGTAATAATACCTTTCTCTTCACCTTCTTTTTTAGAGGTTAGAAGGCAAAAAGGAATGTAAAGATGAAGCTTTACCTTCTCTTTCACCTTCTAACCTTCTAACCCTGCTTTCAATAAATTTGTTGCAACTGTTATAATATCTTCCTCTTTACCTTCTTTTTTGATAAATCTCGTTTGATAAATCTCATTTGTCAATCATTTTTGTTTAATAGACAAATACTTTTTTTTGTTTCAGTTCTGTCATTTTTAAGGATATCCAACTATTCCCTAATGATTTTTACACAATTTAAGGTGCAGTTTGGCGAAACGCTGTCATTTTTTAAGATATAAAGCCACTCATCACTCACTACTTTTAGCTTTAGGATGTTCTTTGTTGCTTCCTGGATCAAGCATCTTAACTATTTTAATAATGCTATAGCCAATGTTCGCGAGTACTGCTGAAACAAAGCTTTCAATAATGATGTCATTATCTATATCTTTCGAAAGATACTTGATGGCATAATCAAAAGACACCAATGGCTTGCACATATTTGTTTTTAATCCTTTGGTTGCTTGATAAAAATGGTAGAAATCTTTAACTAAAAAAAAAAAAAAATAATGAAATAAAATACAATTTTGAGATTTGTATACTGTTTTTAATTCTAAAACATCTACATAGTTTATAAACAAAAAATTTAAGCATTGTATAAATAATAAATGACATTTAAAAAAGAAAACAGGAAAAAGGCCTACATCACAAGATTGACTTAGCCAGGATGTGCGATATAAGATTTTAACGCCAGCCACACAGTTTTTTTTTCTTACCATCACCAGATTTCGACCATGTAATGTGATATTAGTTAATAAACTATATTAAAGCAGATAATAATAATAATATAACTATTATAAAATTAAAATTGTGTCTTAATCAAAAAAAGTTTTCCTAACTAATACTAATATTTTTTTGATTGTAGAGTTTTCTTCATAGATTAAGTTGTCTATGTTATCACTCATTTTTATTTACATTGTTTTTAATAAAATCTCAAAAAATGTCTTAATATTTTTGTTATCATGATAACAAAAATATCAAGACTTTTTTTCGATATGTTAAAAAAAATGTCTTTGCTTTTCTTATTAGTTAAAGGTATATAGTTTAAGTTATGCGGGGGGAGGGGGTCGGCACAAAAAAAAAATTACCTGTTACTCGCAATATTTGAATGAAGACAATTTGTTAAATTTTTTCTGCGTGCGATTTAATAAGTTTTTTTTTTCATAAATCAAGTTATATTATAAGGTAAAGAAATCATGAGTAGACTACAACATCCGCTGATGACACTATATTATTATTATACGATATTACGTTGAATATATTTATATAACGGAGGTTTTATTTTGCACGCGCACATTACAGGTTCCGTTAAATAGATACTAAGGCACGTTTTAGTTTAATGACAGTCTCCATTTTTTACTAATGAATATGTATTTTTCTTTATAAAACAAAACAAACTAGTATATAAAAACCTAGTATATTTCCATTCTCTCCAAATTGTTTAAAGTTCGAATATGGATTGTATTTAAAAGACAAAAGATTTACTTTGAAAACTTTTAAATCCTGGGACTTTGCCGATGCTTCTCTAATTAAAACTATCACAGCAAAAGAGAAGAAAAAAAGACTTACATTATTAAAATCAAATGTAAGTTATGTGATCTTCATCAAAATAAAATATTATCCAAAACAATAGTGCCGTAAGGGCAACTGCCTAACGGTTTATAAATAATACAAGTCATGTTAAATTTTTTACCATGTTACTATATTTTAATTAAGTTGATATATAATTAAAAATAAAAATATAGTTCAATAAATAAATTAAATTTATTCTAAACAAAGATTACCTCATATTTATTCTTTTTTTTATTTTATTAAGTTAAATTGCTTACAAACGAAAAAAAAAAAAAAGAGTTTTGTAATTATACGAAGAATGAAAATACTTTTGAGTTTGTATTTAAGTTAAGGAACTTAATATTTAATAAACAAATTTTTACGAACGTTTATTATAAACAGATACGATTCAAATTATTAAATATACTTAAATTATTTCAGTTGAGTATTTTTTTAAGTTTGCACGATTAAAGTTTGGCGTAGAAGTATTTGTTTTTTTGTTTTAAGAATAATTAACAAAAGAGTTTGCAATTAAGACTTTTATATTTAATTTAATTTTTTTTTTTTTTATTTCCTAAAATTAAAAAAAAAAAGATTTAATCGTTAAAAACGATTTTTCTCAATAGCTCTGTTTCTTTGTGATTTGTTTAAAGAGTTAAATATTTTTACAATAACATAAAAAATTTATGAATTAAATTCCTAGCGAACGTCTATTAAAAAAAATAAAGATAATTTTACGACGTCAAAATCGCGTTAAGCTAATGCATTAAGCACTTTTTTATTTAAAACAAGGCCTGTAATAACATTTTTAAAAAACCATAACTATGTCAAAATCTGTATAATCTGTATTTTAAGTAACATCCAATAGGTTATTTGTCTGAGAGTGCTATTGAAGCCAGAAACAAAGAAAGCAAAACTGCATGAGTTAGTCATGCATGTCTAACTTTCTTGGCAGAAAACACAGGGATACAATTAATTATTTGTTTGTGACTTTTGATATGTACCTCTATAAAGTTATTTTAATGCTTTGCATTTGTTTGCAGATTAGACTATTTTAGTTAATTTGTTTTGGTAGAGAAATCTCAATATAATTTATAAAAACAATTCTAAGTTTTGTTGTTTTTTGTTTTAAAAATTATTTAAGAAATAATTTAATAAATTTTAACTAGGAATTAACCAATCTAGAAAGATGTATATCATAAACTAAAATATTATACTAATGAGCTGTTCTGCGTTGAATTTTTAAAATTACCGCTATTTTCATAGCCACAAGTTCTAATAGAACGTTGAGAAACTTTGTAAGAAACTAAAGTACAAAGAATCAAATGATGCAAGATTTGTTTATAATTTTAATAAGTTCGTATTTAATGATATTGATTAAAAATTTCTAAAAAAATTTGTAAAATTCTAATAATTATTGGCGCCTACTGTTTTTTGAATAAAAATTTCCGGACATATGAAATCTTCCGGATTAGTCAGAAATTTGTCCGCATGAACCCAAAAAAAATACAGTTATTTTTTTATAAATATAAATAAAAAATATATAGAAATATAAGCAAAAAATCAGCTCAATATATTGAATGCTTCCTTATTTATAAGCCTATTTTCACCAGCGATGCTTATGGTGACGCGATGGTAAAAAAATAAGTTGCTCATTTAAAATCAAACCCCAGACTTGTCTAAAAATGGTAAAACTGATATGATCATCTTTATACTAATTACTTTGTATTAATATAGGTATGACTCAAAATATAAATTTCCCTCATGTAAAAAGAACTAAAAAATTAGTAGCCTTAATAAACTTTTTTTTTTTATTGTATTTAAGGCCGCCACCGATTGTAGTTAAAAGGTTATCAGAGTATATTCATTATCAGAGAATCACACTTATGGCTCTAGAAATAAACAAAATATACAGGTCTAGGTATAAGACATGATAACCTCATGAAAATTGTCATCTAATAACAAACCCAGATTGAAGGGAAACTTATTGAACAATGCATGCTGTACTTAATTAACAACAACAAACAAGAAATATAGAAAAGGATTTCCTCTAGGATTGTAAAAAATCTTAGATAATAGCAGTAAAAATTTGATTCCGACCAACAAAAAGTGTTTCCTAATAACTTGCCATAGCAACGCTATCTGAGAATCAAAATATGATTTTAATAATAAAAATTCAAACATATATTTATTCGTAAAAAAATTAAACATAACAAATGAAAAATATTTTAATCTTTGAAATGCTTTTTTAAGTAAGTATAGTAAATAAAAAAAATCTTAAAAATTATTTCTAGTAATGTAAACAAATTTGCCGTTTAATAAAGAATTGATTGATCTTTTCTATTTTCAGAAATGTGTAACGATAGAAATAATTCAGAGAATCTGAATGTTTTGGTTTATTATACTATTAATTTATTATAAAAACAGCATACTTATGTAATTTATATAACATATATTTTAAAAAATGGCTTGTTTCTGGAATCATTTTTATTTGGAGGATCTTAGAGTATTGGAATTTACTCTTTAAGTCTTTTTTTTTAATTTATTCTTGTTTATTTATATGGACTCCATTTTGTACTTGTTGTCTGAATCAAATAACTGATAAAAATAGATATATAAGTAAATAGAGTAATGATTCCAAATTACTTAACTAAAACAATAACAATTTTACCTTTTACAATAACAGTTTTATTTTTCCAAGAAGATTTGATAAATGTAAACTAGGACGATCAGCTTTTACTTGCACAGGTAACAATGTTGATTTTATATAAGTTATGTAGTAAGCACACGTTAACCAATCCAAACTGTCTCCATTAAAATAAGAATCAAAAATGCTGGTAAAGTCAATGATTTTGTACGACTCTAAAATTATTTTGATAATTAACATTATACTTTAATAATTGTAAAAACGACAACTATCTTTACTTTTAAGTTATTTTACGTACTATTTACAATATTTATACATTTTTCGTAATCAATAAAAACTCCCTTGGGATAATTATGTACAAAAATTGATATAAAGAAAAATAACGACACATTTACACTAAGGATTTGTAAACGCTAATAAATTATAATCAATCATATATATTCTAAAAATAAAATTTTCACGGCTTTTTACAAATAGTATTGAAATACTAATCTTATACCTTAAAAAAATAATTTATACATATACAATTAATCAGTGGCGTACCTACGGGGGTGAGCAACAATTTATTTTCAAATAATTATTTTCTCTGTTATGGACGAGAATTATTTATAGAGAGTTATAGACACAAAATTATCATTGTCGAAAACAAGGTTTAACATTACATGTGTCAACGTTTCTAAATACTGCTTTAATAATTTCGTATATAAAAATAATTACATATAATATATGGGTGACACCATAATTAGGAACGCCACTGCAATTAATCATAATAATAATAATATTAATAATAGTAACAAAAATAACAATAATAATATTACCAGTAAATATAATTAACACCCAATAATAATGATTAAAGTAAAAACATGATAATAATAAATACAATACATAGGGTAAAACAGGGTAAAATGAAATAGCGGGTAGAATGAAAAATTATGAAAATGTTTATTCTTTCACTCTTAATTAACTATTGAATAATTTTTTTGCAAATATTTATTGATTTATTGATCAATCACGCAACACTCCGGAAACGGAGTGTTGCGTGATTGAATAAAATACGCTAATAAATAAATAAACACAAGGCAATAGCTTATTTCTTAAAAGCGGCTTTTTTTTGTTAGGTCTCAAACGACCAATAAATCTCCAACTATAAATTTTTGTATAAATTTCAAGGAACGAATTTTTCTAACTGAACTTAAATGACTTTTACTTAATGCTTTTATAAAATGGTTCTAATAAATGAATGAAATACGATAGTTACTCTCTTGTTAATTGCGGTCACTTTGTCTGCAAACAATCTTCGATATTATAGTAACTCCGGCTATTCAAAAGGAAATTCAAAAAGAGGTTGCAAAACAACTGCAATCAGCCCAATCACTTGCAGCAGCTTTGCAACAAATGTTTATCCAACACGTTGACACACAAAAAAAGAAAAAATGTAAATGTACCAAGATTCAAAACGGAGTGTCTCAACAAACCTGAAATACTTTTTTTTTTTGTTTTGTTTTTAATTTTCTGTTTTTGTTACAATTAAATTCCGTAATATAATACCAGATACTATTATTCTTTCAAAAATAAACCAGTTATAAATATAAAAAAATCAAAGACAAAATAATACGAGTTAGTTATACAAAAATAAATAAAAACGCGGGAAACTTGCAGAAGATCATTGAGTCTTATCATCAAGAACCGGTGTAATTATGTTTTTACAATATTAAATTCCTATAATAGTGTTAAAATCAAAACTTAATTAAGTGTTAAAACCAAAAACTTTTCAATGTAAAAAGACAAAAACAAAAAAACAAACAAACGAAAAAACAAAGCAGTTTAAAAGAAATCATTATTAAAATTTGTATACTTTGAAATATTCTTTTTATTAGTTTTTGAAAGCAATTTATATTGTTTATACCTGGTAAATTACTATATTTTGCTAAGATTTTATTCCAGATATGCGGAGCACGATACGTAATTTTAATTGTTCTTGTTTAGTTTTGCACAATGGTTCAATTAAGCCTATTGTGCGTAAAGTATATTTAATATTAGGTTTTATTTCATAAAGATCATTAAAAATTGAGAGGCATTGTTGAAATTTACTATTGTACATGAGACATAAAATTTTATAAACGTTTATTTCGTATAACGTAAAAATATTCATAATTTCGAACAGTGGTTTTGCAAGTTCGTTTTTATTTTTAAAAGTCATTATTCTTAAGGCATGTTTTTGTTTTCGATAGAGTGTTTCAAGCTTGCTTTTAGATGTACTACACCACGCAATATTTGCGTGATTACTTTGAAAGGTTGAAAGATGCTGAGATCAAAAAAGCAGCAAACCAAGCTAAAAAACAACGTAAGCTTATCTCTAACGGAGAACAGCAAATAAACCAAGCAACAAATCCAACGAAAATATTAGCTGCAAACCAATTCAGGTGTAAAAAGTGCCGAAATGTTTTGGGCAAAACTTCAACAGATCATTAAATATTTGTTGAACTTTTTTTTCACTTTGATCCCATGTTTCTTTTTCATTTTCTCGTACACCGTAAATTTCTAATATTGTTTCTTCTATTCCTATCTTCTAGTTTTCTAATTTTTTCTTGTAGTGCATCATTTACCCAGTGGGCATTTCGACGTCGAACGAACGTCGAGCGACGTCGGATCTCGACGTCGGATCGACGTTGGGTTTACGTTGGAAATGGAAATGTTATTTGACGTCGGATAAACTGACATCGCGCGACGTCGGCATACCGATGTAAATCCAACGTGTTTTTTGAAAACTAAAAAACGTTGCCTTAGGCAGGAATCGAACCTCGGTCTATCGTAACGAAATCCTACGCGCTTACCACTACACCACAGGGACATATTAAATCATGTGTTTATTTAGTAATTTATACTTGTAGCTATTTGGGAATTATTACTTTGATAAGAAATAATTTTGTTTAATTATTATATAAATATTAAAACGAATAGTTATATATTATAAAAAATGTATACTCGAAAATGTTAATAGTTAAAAAACTATGCTAGTGCATCATACAAAACCTCATGATGTTTTATCAACCATTATTCAAACTTCTTTCCATTAATAAAAAACACGCTTAGTTCACATATTTATTGAAGAGCGCAATTGCACACATATTGTTGGGTTTGGATTAAATTTTCATCAGCGATGTCTTACGACGTTGTTCCGACGTCGTTTTAAGGACGTTGGATTGACGTCGGAAGACGTCAAAAGACATCGGAGTACGTTAATATTATGACGTTGCCCGACGTCTTTTTATCGACGTTGGATCGATGTCAGTACTGCGACGTTTTTTGGACGTCTTTTAAAAGATGTCGGAACAACGTCAAAATACATCGAAACGACGTCAGGGGATGTTGAGATAAAGACATCGCCCGACGTCATTTTACTGACATCGGAACAACGTCGGAATAGGTCTTTTGACATCGCTGATGAAAATCGCACGTAAATCCGACGTCGGATTGACGTCGGGTGCCCACTGGGTAATTTGCTTGCTTCGTTCTGCGTTGTTTTTAGCTGTACGGTCTGATTTACAACTTTAGTAATTTCCGTATTCATTAACTTTTTAAGTTAATTTATTTAACTAATTAAATGGTGTTACATACGCACCTCTAACACCCTGCATATATCTTTTATGTATTCTTATTCGTCTTTTTAAGACCTTTCTTTTGATACCAAGTTTTATAAACTTTGATGAAAATAGACAAAGTTATGACATTTTAAGTTAAGAAAAACTTAAAACTTGGTCTCATCTTATCATGCAATATATTGTAGATGTTGCATGGATTTCAATGTTAAACTATTTTTCTGCAAGAAAGCTTTAGCCAATTGGCTTAAGGAATTTCAGATGCATTCACTGTATGTGAATTTCTTAAGGAATTTCAGATGCATTCACTGTATTATGAGGAAATTTGCCACAGGCTGAAAAAAAGCTTCACCTAACAACTTTTAATAATAATTTTTTGTTGTTTTTTAATTTTCTGGTGTCAACAAATTTATTTATCTTTTTGACCAGATGCATTCACTGTATTATGAGGAAATTTGCCACAGGTTGAAAAAGGCTTCACCTAACAACTTTTAATAATAATTTTAATAACTTTTGTTGTTTTTTAATTTTCTGGTGTCAACAAATTTATTTATCTTTTAGGCCAAAAAGATAAATAAATTTGTTGACACTAGAAAATTAAAAAACAACAAAAAATTATTATTAAAAGTTGTTAGGTGAAGCCTTTTTTCAACCTTTGGCAAATTTCCTCATAATACAGAGAATGCATCTAAAATTCCTTAAGAAACAATACTAATAAGCGAAAACAAAATGCTTATAAAAATAAATAAAATTTTAAAAAGGAAAATGAAATCTATGATGGATTTAAAAATGGAATATATGATGGATTTAAAAATGGATTGTTTTACACATCTAATAGATTTTGAAAATATGCAATATTGAAGATATGCAATATAGAAGAGCCATTAAATGCAAAAGTGCTCCTTTCTCAACTAAATTTTCATCCCATAATCTTAGGTGTCAAATGTGTCAAATGCAAAAATCTTTTTTGTAAAACAAAAATAGAAGGAAGCAAAAGACTTATACTTGTCTTCGGAGGAAATATATCAAAATCTTCTTATTGAATTCAAGAAAAAAGTAACAATAAACAAACAATCTTTAAGTAATATAAGTAATAATTTAAAGCCTCGTATAATACGCGAATGCAGCTTTTGAAAGCAAAAAAAAAAAGAATTTAGAATGCAAAACTAAACAAATTGATAAAGCAACAAAAAAAACATCCCTTATCAAAAATTATAAACAATCCATCTGATTTTGTAAGTTTTTCTAAATAACATCGTGTTAGAGAAAAAGATTCTCTTAGTGTATCTTGGGAACGCGCGCAAGTGGTACAAATTGATCAACTAAACGTTAAATAAACCGAATACCTTGTTAAGTATGATAACGAACCTGATAAAGTATGGTCATTTGCTTATTTAATTAATTTTTAAAAAAGTGATTTTTTTTCTTTTTAGCTAGGATTGTGATAATTTTATTTAATAAAAATTTAGAAATATGTTGTAGTTTGTATTTACCTTATTTTTTTTTATTAATATGTTCCAATTATTTGTTTTTACTGCATTTAAGTACAGTGGTTTTTATCTTTATAAATGATATGAATCATCTGATATGTTATATATACCAATTTTGTTTA